TGAGAATGGGAAATGAGACTGGAATGGAATGGAGCCTTTGTGTAGTGTGCAGTGAATGCTGGATGGTAAGGAGAAAACAGACAGTGGGTGGTAGCAACAGACAGTGGTGGTTGGTGGTATAATGTTCACGTCTTCTCTAACATGTCTCTGATGTTGTCCGCCAACTCCTGGTCCTTCGCCTCCTCTGCGGCCGAGATGAGGGCTCGGTACGTGGCCTCTCTCCCCCTCTCCTCCTTCCACACCTCCAGACACTCCCTCTTCTGTTTCCCGTAGTCTCCCGGGTAGGATTTGGCGATCTCCTTCTTCTGAGCTCTGCTGAGTCCCAGGAAAGGGTGGAGGTTCTCCCAATCGGTGAGGTGGTCCCTGGCAATTACTGCAAGGTCCCGATCACTGATCTCATCGTCTTCTTTCTTCTTCTCATGAATTGCTGTAAAGGGTGAAATAGGAGATGCTCAAAATCTGATTGTTCAAGAGGACTCACCAGGAGTGTTGGTAGTGTTGGTAGTGAGACAGGAGGAGAGGACAGGGAGGGAGAGGGAACAGAGGCAGTAGGAGAGGAGACTGTGGAACACTCTGACACTGTAGAGGAACATGAATGAAAGAATGAGTATCAAAATAGGGCACATAGAGATGCAAGGACTCACCAGGAGTGTTGGTAGTAGTGGTGGCAGTGGTAGAGGAGGCAGGAGCTGTGGAGACAGAGAGGGGAGGCTGGGAGGTGGGGGGAACTGCAGAAGATGAAGAGGAGAGAGAGGGTGTGGCTGACTCAGCAGCTGTAGGGGGAAAAGAAAGAGAAAAGCATAATGAGACTATTCCAATTAGAGCCCTCAGTGGGTGGACCTCCACACTCACAGGTAGACGTGCAGAGGGTCAGCCATGGAATAGAGTCCTCGTCAATGTCTCCAAACTTTCAGAGTCGATTGAGCATGTCCACACTCCCTTCTTAACGGAGGCGGGGTGGGGTTTGGCTGGGTGGGGGTGGGCGGGGCATACGATGGCTGGGACTGGAGTGTTGTTTGTGTAGCCGATGGTCTTCCCTGCTTTCTTGAGACCTGCAAACACTGCGTCGTGTGCCAGTTTCCACAGCTCGGCCTCGTGTTCCTTTGCGGTGCGTATGTGGAGTTCGAAGTGGGTGAAGTGATCGATGAGTGACACGGTGCCTGCGTAGTCTGAAACGGTGAACTTCGATGACGTTGCGATGGAGGCATTTCGGAGCTCCTTCCTCGTTCTGAGCCACTCTCCAGGGGCAGGGGTGACTGTTTTCGGGGGACAGGAGGTAAGCTACAGTGGAGCAGAACGTTCCCATCAGGGGACCGCTGTCGGGGAAGTGAAGAGCCAGGGCTTTCCCGCCACTCACTCGGTGTTCCTCCACCACCTTCCACGCCACCACTTGCAGCAGACACGGCATGAAGTACACGTCCTCCGACATCTCCGCAAACACCAGCAACCCCTTTAGCAGGGTCACCAGCTCCTTGGGTGTGAACAGAGGTGGCTCGTAGTGGCTCTCGAACTCGCCCAGAAACTTTTCCGTCACTTCGCCGTGGTCACGGAACCTCAGCCTCTCCCCCGGCACGGCTTTCTTTCCTTGCCTCATGTGGTACGTCTCCTCCACCAGCTCCGAGACCTTATCCAGCAACATCTGTGGCTCCATGAACACCAGCTGGGGCAGGATGTCGGGGAAGTAGAACAGCATGTTCAGACCGTCAAAGAAGTTCAGGGCTTCCCCACACGACTCGTCATCGATCTCCATCGACTCTGCCACCTGCTGGCACAGCTCTCGAGGCAGCACCTTCTTCCCTAGTTCATTTGCCACCTCCAGCAGCTTCTGGTACAGAGCGTACCATCGCAACGGCACTTTCACCTCCCTTCCCCCTCCTCCACCTCGCTAAGACACTCCCGAATGCTCTCAGCACACTCCCTGTCCTCCTTCTCCGGCTTTGCCGCATTCAGTGTGAAAACAAAGTCGTCCCGTTTCGTATCGCAGTAGATGAGCTGCTCCCTGAACTGAGGCAAGAGGATCTCCCTCAGCCTCTTGTGCAGAGTGTCCAGCACTCCGGGCAGATGCTCGTCTGCCACCATGTCTCGGTGGGTGGCTAGAAACATCATTTTGGCGGGAGCGATGTCGGGGTTCTTGTTGTTCAGGGACCTCATGGTCCGCACGCACAGTCTCAGGGTCCCTTCGTTGGTCAGGTAGGCTGGGAACTCCCACACAGCTTGCCGTCTTTGAAGTAACGGATCGTCGCTCGCTTGTCTAGAGACTCGTGGAGCTTCAAGACGTAGACGAATTTTGATGCACCCCTCAGGAAGACGGGCATCATCTCCAGAAGCTCGGGCTGGCCGCCAGAGTCCAGCACGAGGAACTGCTTCAGTCGCAGGATGGGCTCCAGGGAGGGAGGAGCACTGTTGATGAGATGTACAAACCCCTCGTCCACCGAACTCGAAAGCAGCATGGAATCCAGCCTCCCTTCTGTTTCCTTGGCCCTGGGCTTCTCCTCCGAGGATGCTGTGCTCTTCCCGGCTGCTTCAGACGTGGAGCTACTCGTCTTCTCTGGAGTTGGCTGAGCTGACTGGCTGGTTGCGGTGTGGGGAGCTGCTGGTCGGGGAGGCTGGGTGCACCACATGCTGGCTGTGCCACTGACTGTTGCCGTGGCATTCGCGACTTGATTACTTTTGCAGCGATGCCCCTGCCAGTTGCGTCTATGTTCGTTTCTTTCCACTGTTTTTTGCCGTCGACGTCCACGACACGACCTCGCGTGGTCGTTCTTTCAATGACTGAGTGCTGCGTCGGATGCGTGGGAGGGTCCACTCCGAGCAGTGCAGCGAGGAGAGCCAGTTATTGCCCACTGCCAGCCGTGCCAAAACAGCAGATTGTGTCCAGGTTCCAGCTCAATGTGGCCTAGTTTATCTTCCTGTCGTAGTAGATCTGTTTGGAGCGGAATCTTCCTGCATGTGAGTAAGTGACTGTTGAGGGAGTTTCGACAAAACAAGAAAGTCCACTGTACCAGTGGGGGGGAACGCGCTGCAGGTGATCCAATGCTCTGAGACTACTGCCGCCACAGACCTCGCCCTCATCTCAGTCATGTAGATGAGCCATGCCACAATGTAGCAGATGTGCTGGTAGTGTGCGGAGATGAAGAGAGTGAATGTGAGGCCTGTTTGCACTCTCTGTCACTGTACAAACTGTGCGTCGACTCCTGCCAACTGCAGAGTCGTGTATGTTGCGCATAATCCGACCAAACCTCCAACCTCCTCCACAGCCTCGTCACTCATGATGTCTAGACTGTGGAGAGGTCGCTGGAGTGAGACTGTGGCCTCTGGGAACCACAGTGAGAGATAGTAGAAGATCTTATTAGGACGTTGGTGCAGCGACCGTAATTTGACACTAATCTCGCCCATACTGGGACGCGTTGTTTAGAAAAGTGCGTATAGACCAGATCGCTAAGATCTCGAATCGCTAATCGCTGCCCGTGTGGGCGCCAGTCAAGACGCATTAAACGAATCGGAACCGGACCGCGTTCGACAGCACAGTCAGGGACGTATACGTATATAAACTAACGATACATGAGCAAAACTATATACCGTCGCGGAAATACGGCAAAGGAATCACACTAAGGTCACAAAAAAGGTACGGTAACCAAGGGGGGTTAAGATATGGCTGTCGATGGGAAGACGAGGCTATGCGACATCAGCAGACTGACCTGGTCGAGACAGGCAGGAAATCCTTCATGCCGGTAATGCCCATTCCTCCCCATGAAGTAACAGTTACTCCTGCAACGCTCTCCAGGGAGGCCATCGGGCATTGCGGAGGAAGTAGAGGTTTAGCGCCGTATTCTCTTTGCTTCTTGTCAGGCAGGGATCCTTCTGTAGTTCATGCAAGCACAGGAGTAGGAACACCAAGACCCAAAGTAATAGTCCCCATATGATAACAGTTTGGATGAAGCGGTGCGTGACGAGGTTGTTGATAGTGGACGTGTGGGGTCTGCACTAAGAGTAGGACATTAACATGGCAATAAACACATCAGTAACGACGGCAGATTACATCGTTTCCAAAGACGACCACAACAACAATGAAAGCCTCAGGCAATTTTCTTTTCCAACCTGTGACAGACTACTCCGCCAGAGTCGTATCTGATCTGCAGCCCTCTTTCTCTCCAATTCACATCAAGAACAACAATTAACTAGTCTAGGAGGCCTAGTGGGTCGTGGTCCATGAGTAGGGAGTAGGTGAAATTCCTCCACCATAGATCCTTATCTCACCTTGAAACTGACTCTCTCAATTTACCACCGTCTCCTCTGAGGGACCAACACCAACCAGTCCTCATACTAGAAATCCCTCACGTCTCCTGCAGCTATCGGCGACATGGTTTCTGGTGAACATCATATATACACAACAGAGACAACCACACGACATTTAACCTCTCTCTCTTAACCCCTGTCAACTACGTCATGCTCATCAATTAACCCTTGCCCACTGCAACAACAGCAAACAACATTTAACCCCTTTCTCACGAAACACATTCTCGTGGGCGGGAATATGTCAGTCTTTTGCACTTCCTTATTTGGTTATGGGTATTTTAGTAAGAACCTATCTACTAAAAATAGTATAGAGAAAAGATAGTAGAGAGGGGAATCAGCTCACATTTTCTTGTGTGGAAAGTAGTGGGAACGGATCGTTCGAGTGATCGTCTCTATGGAGGCGCACTCTCAGCAGCGGATGACTGAGTTCCTTTGGGGCGGCGACGGAGGCCATGGGGAGGGAGCTTAAGCGGCCGTCAGTTCTGGCCACCTCTTCCGACGACCGACTTCTCTCGCTACCTCGGACTACCAGCCTACACTGTCTTGGAAGAGGACTGACACTACAAACTAGCGACGTCCTGCTCGCCTCGGGCTATGACTTTCTCGCACTTCAAAACGCACAAACGAAAGCCACTCAACTGAAAAACACCACAGCTAGTCGCAGCGTACATTGCCGGCTTCTCGGGAGCATTCAAATAAAACAAAAATGAAGCGTTGAGGAAAAGATTATCGTTTGCTATGCGTGACGTTCAAACGGTCCTCACGGACCAATAGTAGGTCCCTGTGCGATTCGTATGATTTTATGTGCGCATGGCAGTAGGCTTAGGAATCACTACTCATAACACAACATTAACAAAGCACAGGAAGAGATAACTGAGGATTTATAGTCGAACACGGACAACATTTACCACCAGTCCATTGACACTGACACTCCAGACTGGGGAAGGGAGAGAGGAGTGGGACAAGGGAGGAGAGAGAGCGAGAGAGCTTAAATACACTAGCAAACAAAATAAGGGAAACCAGCGACAGTTTTTCACACATTTTTGGGCTTGCCAAAGCTTTGTGCCACGAGAACTCCACACGTCTGAATAAAGGACGTAATCACAAAAACTAAATCTCGAAGAGTCAAGGAGGACCTTTGAGGTCGGCAAATGTTCAATTTTCAGACAGGACCCAACCCCTATAAAACTGACCTTGGTCCAACATGTCCATTATTCCGAGCTTCCACTGTATCATACGATTGTGTTTGTGACATTTTCCTGGCAGCTAGACGAGACCACTACATGCGTCACTGTGGTCTTTGAAAGTGGGTGGATGGACACTCTCTGTTACTGCCATCCCATATCTCACCGTCTTATCCACTGGATCTGGATAATTACGACAAGGACATCGTACATTATGATTACAGGGTCCACCCTTTGTTACCACTGGTGACAAGTGTGGTTGTCGAGGGCAGATAATTACTACCGACAAGACCAGGAACTGGGACCACGAGAGAGTGCGTGAGACTTGCATGTGCTGTTGACTGGCTGGAGAGAGAGCGAGAGGGAGAGGGAGAGGCATGAATGCATACTATGAGTGTCTGTCAGATGCCATACACTAGTCATCTAACGACAGTGTCAAACTAAATACTATATTAAGTATTCTTGCACCAGTGCTACAATACGTATGTGCAATTAATTGCTGATGATCACCTGACTAAGTGCATCTCATAAGGGACGCTAGCTTATGTATATGACACCATCAAATTATTTAGCAGTCATTCCTACATTATGTACAATACGTCTATTTTAAGAGCACCACAACACATCCACTTTTGAAGCCATGTCGGGTCTTTTAGTTTTTTCAATTTCTTTGTTTCTGGGTGCATGCAGTGAACACACTGGCACACTTACAATCGTTGATTATCAGCAAGAATTATCACACAAAAATGGCTTGCAATGAGTACAACATGAGTAGGTGTGGAGTACACAATGTGGTACACATTGGTAATTCTGGTGTGTATAGTGTTGTGATGCTACAAACAGCTTACAGTGAAGTCTCTGATCACCTGAGAGAGAACAGTATAAGGTGTAGTTAGTTCTTCATCTTCTTCCAGCGAGTAGATTAAAAAGAGAGGGTCCGAGGGGAGAGCGAGACAGAACGTGGGGTGGGGGGGAGGAAGGGATTAAACAGATGTGGACCACATAAAGATGGTTTTAGAATGGAGGTATGATCACAGTTATACTCATGACAGTTTGAAATCAACAACTATGCAAGTTTACTGTAAGGTTAATTTTACTTGATTAGATTCGGAGGGTGGAAAAATAA